CTGAAAATCCCAGCTTCTTAACCCCATATGGGCCACACAACTGAAGGTGGGGTCACAAAAAATTAGACAACAGTAGGATGTACAAAAGCCAAAAATCTATTTGAAACCAAACATGTAATGCATTCAGGGTGTTTCTTGTGGCACTCACCGGTAACACAAATAAGTAGGTGACCAGGTGACTGATATTGTGTTTCAAATCTCAAGCTGAATATCAGAAAAGCAAAGCGTCAGTCACTAGCTCTCACCTCTAGCTCAGTCTGAAAGGTCGATCCACACACGAGCTCTTCACCAAGTCTCAGACTGCTGCCTCTCCTTAGAGTGTTTGGATAACAAATGTCTCTCTGAGACCTTGCTAACATCTTATATACTTCCCTAATGTTGGGGTTAAAGGTGTGAGCTATAATTCTCCTTTAGACTGATTCACTCTTGTGTAGATCTGGGTGGCCTTAGACTCACAGAGATCCATCTGTCTCTTAATCCTGAGTCCTAGGATTAAAGGTGTGTACCACCACCTCCTAGCTTCTGACTGCTGGGATTAAAGGTGTGTGCCTGGCTTCTAAGGCTTGTGGCTGACTCTGCTTTCTGAATCCTCAGGCAAGCTTTAATAATATATCACCACACTCACCCATGTATCATGATACTTCACTGTGACCATGGTTCTCAACACTGTGCATGCTCTCATGCCCAATGATGCCAGTGGAAGCTGCTTGAACTATCTTGACTCAAATTTGTTGCTAATGTTAGGACGTGCAGTGTTTTTGCTGTATGTACAGATTTTATGCTCTTACAGAAACAGTGTTTAATTACAGAAGATGAAGACTTTCAATAGTTTCCTACTGTCATTTCTCAGCATGTAAGTATCGAAATTAAACGTATTTTGTTTGAGTGTTTCATTTTAAAATTGCTGTTTTTAGTTGCTTAGTTGAGTTTTTTGGTTTTTTTCTCAATATATGTTTTTATTTAAATTAGAAACAAGAATGTTTCACATGTCAATCCCAGCTCCCTTTCCCACCCCTCCTCCCTTGTCCTTCCACTAGCCCCCTCTCGCCCCCCACCCAATCCCCATACCATTCCCCAGGGAGGATGAGGCTCTCCATGGGGGATCTCCAGAGTCTGTCATTTCATCCAAGGCAGGACCGAGGTCCTTCCCCATGTGTCCAGGCTGAGAGAGCATCCCTCTATTTGGAATGTGCTCCCAAAGATCATTCATACACCATGGTAAACACTGATCTACTACCCAAGGCCCCAGTGATTTCTGTGGCCTCCTCACTGAGACCACATTCATGGAGTCTGGATCAGTCCCCTGTTGGCCTCTCAACCATCAGTCTGGGATTCAAGAGCTCCCCCTTGTCCGGTCAGCTGTCTTTGTGGGTTTCACCATCATGGTCTTGAGCCCTTTGCTCATCACTCCTCCATCTCTGTCACTAGGTTCCAGGAGTTCAGTTCAGTGTTTAGCTGTGGGTATCTGTCTCTGCTTCCATCAGTCACTGGATGAAGGTTCTAGGATGGCATATAAGGTAGTCACCAACCTTATCATCAAGGAGGGGCTATTAATGTAGTCTCTCGGCTATTGCTTATTTTGCCAGTTGGTGTTATTCTTATAGATCTCTGGAAATCTCACTAGTGTCAGCTCTCTCCTCAAACCTATAATGACTCCATCTATTATGGTATCTCTCATCCTGCTCTCCTCTATTCTTACCTCGACTCAACCTTCCTGCTCCCCCATGCCTTCTTCTGTGTATACCAAATGATTGATTCATCATCAATACAAGTTTGATTGGTATACTTAGTGAAATCTTTCAATGGCAGACAGCTTACTTTCAATTTATTAATGTGTTTTTTCTTTTTTTGTGGTTTTGAGACAGGGTTTCTCTGTGTAGACCTAGCTGTCACTGTCCTGGAACTAGCTCTTGTAAACTAGGCTGGTCTTGAACTCACAGAGATCCACCTGTCTCTGCCTCCCGAGTGCTGGGATTAAAGGTATGCACCACCACTGCCCAGCTTATTCTTGTGTTTTTTTAAGACTGTCTCAGCTTTTAAAATTTTATTTCCTCTTAAAGCTATTCTCAAAAACAAATGCCTACTAGGATTCACACGTGTCAATCTACTGGCTTATTAAGAGGATGGCTGTAATACTCACTTGGTAAGGATTCTTCTTCTCTCAGGAGCTGGCATCTACTGAAGCAGGGTCTACCTGAACCTCTAGCCTACAGAGAGCTGTATCAAAGTCAAGGAGCAGCAGACATCAGGTCTAAACCAGCACTCCCACCCTCAACTCCCCACCTCATCACTTACGACTTCCAACCCAGGAGCATATAGAGCCTAACAATACACTCTTGTCATATTCAGCTCTAAGGCATGAGGCGTCAACTCAGACTGGGCGTCATCTGTCGTTTAAAGTGCCTGGAAGGACATGACACGCAGGATCATCTCACAGATGGCATCAGGTTCCACAGTCACCATTTCCTTGGACACGTCACAGACAACATGCATCACATGACCTCTGAGTACCGTGTTCTTAGGCACTGGTCTGCAGTGCACTGCTCAAGCAACACAGTCACAATACTTAAGAAGTCTCCAGAAGAATCCGGGTGCAGATTCATGCCTACACTGTGGAGAGTGGCTTGGTCAGACAAGGCTGACTTCTCATTATTTCTATGCCAAGAAGCTGGAAGTACTTAGAGCAGCTGGCGCCATTCCTGACAGTCACTGGAATTTAATTACTTGGGGAGCGGAGAGAAGTCTTACGGGGCTTTTTAGAAAAAACAAAGTCTGGGACTGCCTGGTGTGACATGTGTGAGAAAACAACACCCAGTATTCAACAGGAGCCAGCCAAAGTACTTGAGAGTAGGAAAGACCTCTAAGGTGACTACGGCCTACAGGTCACTTGCTACTTCTATTTCCGCCATGAAGGACCAGGCAGGGTGAGAGTTCCCAGGGCGGTGGTAGAATCAGGAGAGCACCCTCCCTGGGGGAAGATGGCTCCGCTTCCCAGTCCACAACAGATGCCATCTCTTTCAATCTGAGATGGGTACTGTAAGGGAAGCAGAGAGGTTGAGAATCTCATCCCTGTCAGGTGTGGGGAGGGTAACTGTATTAGGAGTTTTATCTTGGAGATCTAATGCTTGCTGGTGGCCTGGACCTACCCAGTTGTACCCAGGCACCCAAGAGGTAAACGCTTCAATCAGCATCGCACCTGACTTTGTCAGATTCTCATTGTCTTAGGGTTTCTATTGCTGTGAAGAGACACCATAGCCACAGCAACTCTTACAAGGAAAACATTTCACTGGTGTTGGCTTACAGTTCACAGAGGTTCAGTCCAGTGTCATCATGGTGGGATGTGGCGGTATGCAGGCAGACATGGTGATGGAGAAGTAGCCGAGAGCCCTACATCTTGTAGGCTACAGGACGTGGTCTGAGGGTCACACTGGACCTCAAAGCCCGCCCCCACAGTGATGTTCCTTCAACAAGGCCACATGGCCTAATGGTGCCACTCCCTTTGGGGGCCATCTGCTTTCAAACCACCACACCCATGGTGGTGTGTCTTTCCACACTGCTGTTAGGCGCTTTCTGAGGCAGGAGGATTTAATGGCATATACTATCACTTGCATCCTGATCACAAGTCAGGCCAGTTTCAGGACCTCAGAAGGCACAAAGAACTTCCAACATAGGGGTAAGGTCCATGAACATTTTTCTGAAAGAATGAAGAACTAAATGAAGTAATTCAAACTATCTTGACAGAATGTAGTGCAGGTAACCCCCATGCATTTCTCTGCTTAAATGTTTATAGACTCTAGTTTCGGTGAAGTCAGTGTCATTTGCAGAGGTGTAGTAATTAATTAGTTGGGAATTCTTTGTAAAAATCCTGGGGGGGGGCTGCAAATCCCACATGGTTCTGTGTAGGAGCATGAAAAGATGGAGAAAGACAACAGTGATTCTCTCGGCACCCCAGAGTAGGGATGCTGGAGACCGGCAGTGTCGAGAAGCCCAGAGGCTGTTCCCTGGTAGCCTTCTGCCTTTTCCTCCACCCACGCATAAATAGGAACACGCTAAGATACCTCAGGAGTCTCTCACATGTTTGAGGAAAAACTGAAATTAATAACGAATATGATCTCAGTCTGGAGATTGCCTATTTGTATTATAACCAACAGAAAATGGAAGGTTTGAGTCCAGCAGTTTGCAGCTTTTTCTGCCCAGATTGGTGTCTGGCTCCTGAACAAGAAGGGTCTTTACAGCTTTGGGGTTGAAATCAGAAGGGCTGATGGTGTGAATTGGCCAAGCATATCAGAGCCAAGAAGAAGAAAGCAAATGTTCAAGTCCTCTGAAATCTAGCCATGGGTAATTTGCATACAGCTTTTAAAAGTAGCATTTACCCGGGTCCAACCCTGATTTGACTACTTGGCTCACAACCCTGGTGTCACCCCAGGCTGTCCACACAGGAGAGGAAGGCCTTGTCTAGACACCGGGAAACGTCCACCAGTTGGTATGCTTCACTATCCCGAACTTCTTAAAGATTCCAAGCACCATCAGGATGTAGGCAATGGGTTTTTAATTCCTATGCATGGCATCATCTCTAACAGATGCTCAGAGAACCAGGATGAGGTGCTGGAGGTCCACCCTAGAGGGGACCCAGCGCTTCAGCTGACACCTGTTCCGGGTGCCTTTGGGGTTTGAGGAGGGCTGCTCAACAGGTCATGCCTGCCGGGTGCGGTGGGCCTTGGAGCAGTTGTCAAGGCAAGGCGGCCAAGAAAGAGCTCAGGGCCTCTGCTCACTGGGGATGGAAAGGGTTAAGTACAAAGGCGCGGGAGCCGCCACCGCTAGGCCCTCAGGGCTAGCTCGGAAGCAGCCCTGCCAACAGACCCCCAGCCCGGAGACGGCGCGCGGGGCCGCGACGAGGTGCACGCGCGCCCGGGTGGTGGGCGGCCTTCCAGCTCGCGCTCCCTCCAAGCGCAGGGAGCGCGCAGGAGCGAGCGGCCGCTGCCACCCAGGCAGTTGGCAAGGGAGCGGAGGAGCCCGGCTCGCTCCCGGCGGCGGGGAAAGCGCACAGGATCGCGGCGCTGGCTCGCACAGGTGCGTGGAGGGTTCCCCTGCGCTCCTCCCGTCTCCCTTCCCCCCCACCCCCGACTCCGGCGCTCCCACAGGTGCACGCGAATGTTGGCATGCGCATGCGCGCCTGAGCCCCCCTGACCAGGCTGCCTGGCTTGGGCTCGGGTGGGCGCAGGGGTGGAGGGAGAGCGGCGAGCTGCCAGCGGTGAGGTAGGGGACCGGGCGCGGCCTGCGGGATGCTGGGAGGATGGAGGAACCCCGGGGATGGAGGGCAGGGGCTCTGCTCTTGGCGGGAGATGGGGACTGGCGCGGGGTTTGGGGAAGGGGGGCCGGGATCCTCCAAGGTAAGCAGCCAGCGGGGCGTGGGAGGGCGGCAGGCGACAGTGAGTCGCCCGCGACGGCCCCTCCCAGGCCTGGGTCCAGCCGCTCCCTCCTGCTGCCTGCGGTGCCGGGTTCTTTACCGGGAGACGGGAGGGGGGGTCACTGCACTAGCTCGAAATGTGGACTTGGTTTGGCGCGCCGGGTCGGGGGGGCGGGTGGCTTATGCTGTCTGTCCCCTTCTCCACTCGTAGTCTGCGGGGGCGTGTGGGCCAAGGCACCATACTTTCTGTTCCTCGGCTCGTGGAGCCAGACGGCGGGTCGGGGATGCCTGGTGGCCTGCGCGGGTACGTGCCTGACAGCTCGCTGGGGAGGGGAGGAGGAAAGCGCGCTGCATTTAAATTAGGACTGAGCGCGGCGGCTGCCTTCATCCAGGCCACCAGGCTGGCAGTGGAGCCCAGCCTTCCGGGTCCAGGGCAGTGCAGACAGGCCCTGCAGAGTTCCTCTCCCTTGGTCCACTGCACCTGTAGCGCTAGGCAGGAGGCTTTTCTTTTCTTTTTTCTTTTCTTTTTTGATTTTTCGAGACAGGGTTTCTCTGTGGCTTTGGAGGGTGTCCTGGAACTCACTTTTGTAGACCAGGCTGGCCTTGAACCCACAGACGACATCGGCTTGCCTCTGCCTCCCCAGTGCTGGGATTAAAGGCGTGTGCCACCAACGCCGGGCTGACAGGAGGGTTTTCACGCCAACCCTGTTACATCTCCTAAAGAACTACACCCCTCCACACACACACTAGTGTCTATTCTGGAGACAGGAAAAGCCCGTCATCGCGGTGAGCACTTTTACTTCCATTCAGCCCACTCGGGAGCTTATCTTGAAGTTCTTGGTTCGCTGCGAGTTCACAGCACCCGACCACTTCCTACTGAATCGCAGTTACCCAGGCTCTAATTAGTAACCCCGTGGCTGTCTGTCAATGGTGCCCTTCAGCTTTTCATCCTGAGCGGCTCCTATTATTAGAACCCTACCCCCTCAAGCCTTGCCAGGCAAAAGGGAGCTTTCCCGGGTACCAGAGTTGGTGGGAGAAACCAGCGTCCCCGTGCTGACTCACTAAGTGCTCCAAGGCTCCCTTCTGGTCTAACTCAGCTGAGGTTCTGGTGAGATAAAAATTCTACGGAGCTTTTCAGTGTCTGCCACGAGAAACGGCTCATCGTATCATTAGATAAGAACGGAGGGGCAATACGGAAAACATTTTGCTTACAGTCTGCATGGTCATCGCTGGTTTGGGGGAAGAAAGCATTCAATGTGTTTGTTTCTGTACAGGCCCTTCCCAGCAACACCGTCTTGGGGGCCACTATGCCTAAGAGGATGGAAGGGTCTAGCTCTGTGGTGTGAGATCACATCGCTGGTGACTTTGGTCCCCGCTGTGGTGGTCTTGCAAGGAGTATGTTCCAGTACAAGACTCAGCATGAACAAAAAAGGGAGTTGACAGTGTCGATTGCTCTCCTTGCAATATGCTTTCTGAGCCAAGCGGCTCTCCCTTGCTAGCGCTCCATCTAAGCTCATATTTCAGATGTTTCCTAAACACTGATGGCATAGATGACTGTGTAATAACAGCTTGAGAATCTGGACCCACTTAGGCAGGAGCAGTGATTCTCTGGACTGCCCTGCGTCTAGGCTGGGGTCAGAACTGACTGTATATGCTGGGTATCAGGACTGCATGGAGCAGAGCAGTGGAAACCAGCCCAGCCTACTTCCTGTAATCCAGAGGTGTCTGCTCTGTTCTGGAAGCCATGGATTATCATCTCACCGGTGGCCTCGTGTTTTAGCTTTTCTCATGAGATTAGAGTGGTCACACACAGAGAGTGATAGCACCAGCAAATGTGTGTAGAAACCTTACAGAGAACAACTTTTATAACAAAAATGCAAACTTCTAGGAGTTTACGTTTTGGAAACATTCTGCTTCCTGCTAGACATAGCATCATAATTAAATATTGCCTTGGAAACTGAAGCTACCCCAAGCCCTACAAGTACTGTTCAGATGGCTGAACACTCTTCCTTTGAGTGGTGTTTGTTGATGTCTGCTGCGAGTGTGGATAATCCTGGGTGCTAGGTACATAATTCTAGGTACCATGACCTGGTCTCTCTGCCTGTGCATCTTAGACCCGAAAACAGTGCAAGGCATGACTTGTGTCCTATCAATACTTGTGTAGCTTAAGGATCAATACTTGCTCTGAAGGGAGTGTCTGCATCCCACAAACATACATAATGAAGGCTCCAGGTGTGGTGAGGGGATCGGTACAGCGCATCAGCAGGGACTTGTTGTGCAAAGGCCCTGCAGTGTGGGGCAGATCACTAGGGAGGCCCAGAGAGGAGCCCTTGGAGAACCTTTAAAGGGCCTGTAGCTTCGGTTCATGTACACTGATGAAGATTGACACTGGAAGGCTGGATGCGGGGTCCGTGGCTCAGTCTTTACAGAATGGAGATCCCAAGTCAAAGGGAAGCCCTGAAGGTGGCCGGTGTGGATGAGATGTTGCATAAATAAAAGGCCTTGTTGGTATGTTTGGGGTCATCTTTTGGTTAAGAACTCTTAGAGCTTTGGTGTCTGCCTTCACTGTGTCTGGGAGGTCTGAGCCACATTCATCTCTTGCTCTTGCTGGTGTGATGGTCCCTAATCAGGATGTGGACATCTGCCTTTGGATGCACTGGTCAGCACAACCATTTGGAACAGCCATATTCTGGGCCTTCATTTGCTCACGGTCCCCCGTTCAAGCATCAGGACTCCCGTTGAGGTTCTCACGGCTGAGAAAACTTGATGGCTTAACCAATAGCATCCATTCTGTTTGCTTGCCATCCAGCAGTCTCAGGGGTGGCATGTCTGCCAATCAGTGCCAGACGTGGAAGCCTGAGGGCAGGGCTTGAGTCACAGAGAGCTGCTATTCACTTCTGGCATGACTGGGCAGAGGAGCCAGACCTCTTAGTTGTCAGCTTCCTCGCTGGTGAATCATGTCTTCAGAAAGAGTCCCATAGAAGCTGGACCACTTTTCCTGAGGAGCCTTTAGTCCTGTAGCATCATTCTCATCACAGGTACAGCTTGCTGATTGAAGGAAGAGACAGAACTCCACCACTCAAGCATCTCTGTCATCTCATACTCTAGGGAGAGTACTGAATAGGGTCACATCTTGTCATAATCAAACCTCCAACTGCTAAATTCAATGCCCCCCCTCCTTGATATGAGGGTCAAAAATCTCAATACCTTGCACTTTTGTGTAGTTAATGTTTTTAAGTCATGCCCCTGGATTGAGGGGCTGCTTTGAGTCCTTCCTATCCATTTGAAGGCCTATGCACCAAAGAGGGAAGATGTCCGTCCTATACCCACAGGTTACCACACTGGACAGCACAGGGTCACTGTTGATCTTGTCAGTGTTCCTCAAACAGCCATGGGACGTGACTATGCATGTATGTACGTGGACGGCTGACGCTGTGACAAAATAACTGCCAAGAAGTTAAGGGACAAGGGATTCGTTCTGGCTCAAGATCTGATATGTGAACAGGACAGGCGTGGCAGTGAGAACATGAGGTGGCTGTTGGGTCGCAGCCACAGTCGGGGAGCAGGATGGATGCTGGTGCTCAGTGTGCTTCCTTCAATGTCCCTTTTTATTCAGCGCAAGGATGGGGCTACCCACACTCTTCTCTGGAGAGGTGTCTTCTAGATGATTCCAAATCCAGTCAAACTGACAATGGAGACTAACCACGACAAAGCCCGAATTGGTGGGGCAGCTCAGCAGGCGTGGGCCCGTCCTGAGCTCTGAATGTAGTTTCTTCTCACAGAACTCACACTGAAGCTTGGTCCTGGTTATGGTTTCAGTATGAAGTGTCCCCCCAAAAGGCTTGCGTTGGAGGCCTGTTCCTGATGACACGTACTTCGTCATGTGAAGGTTGGTGCTGCTCTTGGGCCAGCTCCTGTTGTGTCTGGTTCATCACGAGTCCACCCTTCACATTTTGCCTCATCTGTAGGCATCCCTTGCCCTTTGCTTTAGATGGTCAGAGCTGTGTCCTTGGACTTCCCAGTCCTCAGGGATAAATAACTTTCTATGATTTATAAATGTTCCAGTCTCGGGTGTTCAGTTGCAATCACAGAAAATGCCTTAGTACCCCAGGAATAGTAATGGTGCAGCATGGGCCTAGAAGGTGAATTCTCTTTTCCTTAGACACTGCCATCTCTTTCTCTCAAGCTGTAGACTGAACAGGTAAGGCGTATTCAGAGAATGGAGGACATCTGGTTTTATTCAGCCTGCTGACTTTGTGCTAGCCCTGTCTAAAAAGTGTTTGTCTAAACCTCTGGATGGTGTGGTACACCTACGTGGATGGAAAAAAAAGGATGCTTTTTTTAAATCTCCTGGTGGGAAGGGGAACTGAGAGGCTGATGGGCCCACAGCCCATAGCTATCCCAAGACATCCGGGTACAAGCTAACAGTAGCTTGGTCCTGGCTCTCCAAGTCTCTTCCTTCTCCATGGTGATGTCTGCTGTTTGCAGCTAAGTGACTTGCTCTGCCTGTGTCCTGCCCCGCAGTATCTCCATAGCCTAGCATGCTGTTTTATCTTGTACTGCATCTGTTTCCTTTAGGCAGAGCTGGCCGCATCTCACCCCATCCAATTTCCAATGGTCTTAAAGCGTCCCGAGTTTCCAGGGATCCCTGGGGACCCATGCC